CTCTCTCTCTCTCTCTTTCTCTCTCTCTCTCTCTCTCTCTCTCTCTTTGGAGCTAAATATTTCAAAATGCAGCTTTACTGTGTGTCCCTATTCATTCACAACAACGTTCCCTTGAATTAAAATGCGAATGACCTGTCACAATTCAACTCGGGTCAACGTCATCAAAGGACTGACCATGCAAAAAGATTTGACCTATCAGATAACAGTGGTAGTTCGAACGTCCACAATTCGGAAGTTCCAAAACCAGTTTTCACCCAAAAGTTTGTAGCACAATGGACTAAGAATAGAAAAATCATAATGCTACCGACATTTAATATGAAAATCTATACTAAATTTTTGGCTACTCACTTTTTTAAAGGGTTCACTATACACCAGCAGCCCACAAGCCAAAATGTTTGGCTGTTTCGTAGGCTATCGATGTACTAGGATGGCCTCAATTGTTTTCAGTAAAAAGAAAGAACAAGACATATACACATATTTATTCATATTTCCCTTTAACATTTCCAATCTTCATGTTTTCAAATGGCGAACTACATTAACCATGGCTAAACTGAAAAGTAAAAAAGGGTGCTGTATTCCTTGATGAAAGGACAAAATGAAATGTTCTTGCAAAGAGAATCATCGGTATAGGCTTGTGGGCAAGGTGGAGTCCGGAGCGGTGCGTGCGAACATTGCAGGAAACGTGTCTATGTGGGGCAGGTTTTCATAGGTTGTAAATATGGCCACCAGATGTTTGTAAAGTATATTGTATTAATCTTTAACATCAACATGATGGAAATGAAGTCGTTCTCTTTCTTCCAGCTAAAAAGTACATCGGTGGATGCATGAGGTTTTGATTCAAGCGATTCCGTTTCTAAACCTTGTAATGAGCCGCCACAGCACGCTGAGTGCAGGCAAGATGCACGTTGAATTACCATTTCTGGATTACTCTGGGTTTGAACTTTGAAGTATTTACTTTTTTACTTTGCCTTATGAATATCAAAAGCCATGTGGCATTTAGATTAGCATTAGTTTTTAAGAAAAAAAAAATAAAGATAGTTCAGAGTATAGTTCAGGCCAGGTGTAACTTGTTAGTTGGATGCCTAATTTGGACCAGTGATGGCCTGGTGGTAGAGTCGCTGCCCGGCAAGCAGTAGATGGCAGGTTCAAATCCCGCTGGTTCCAAGATTTTTTCTGACTTGTTTTTTCTATTACAGATCGATTTTTACTGGGTGTAAGCCACAAATATGTTTAAACTATCAACAAAATATTTGTTGAATAATTTATATACAAAATGCATTTATGTTTGATAACAGACGGAACAATGCTTCTGTAGCCCTATGCTCTTTAGTATGATCATGGCAAAATAAACAGATCAATTATAATTAAATAATGTGTTGTATATTATATTTTTCGGTGTTGTTTTTTCATTTCATTTTTTTTTTCGCCAATTTTTTTGTTGAAAAACGGCTTAATTTCAGAGGTCATTGACAATCCATCCATTCCCGCCTCCCCCCCCCCCAAAAAAAAAAACCAGCAACAACAACAATAACAACATACGAGTAGAAAGCTATGGCATTACAGTTTTCATAAATCATATTTAGGTCATATATGAATGAATTATCGTAATTTGCCAAGACCAGCTGTTTTCAACATCTTTCCATGCATACTCATCCGATTTCACGATCATGATACCTAGGTTCTAGTCTGTGATAATCGGACTTCCGTCATAATTATCTAACAACATTAATGAACCCCGTTGAACTTTTTTGGTCTAAATTATGACCTCGGCATATTTGACGGATATTGTAATTCATCCTTGGAAATACGAAATCACATAGGCCTACAAATAAGTACAGGGCACTAGTAGATTTTTGAGGGAAGGGGGTGGGCTCAACCCACGTATAGTACACGTAAACAAATAATTGAAGGGACATGATCATCGAAATTAGATGACAACAAACAATGATTTTAACAATTCAGAGCTTTAATATTATATGATATACTTTAGGTACACACGGTAGAATTGAGGTGAAATATGAGGGAATAAATTGTATGCCAACCCTGTTTAAGTATATATTTTAATCAGTCTTTCAGAATCGTGGCACTGGCGCCCCTCCCCCTTACACAATTCTGAATATGCCCCTAATAGTTAGCTTGCACGCATGAGGATGTTTATTTCACATGAAAGTAGGAAATGGGCAAAAATATTGTTTTTCAATAATTTATGAATCCCAACATCCTGAAGCTGAATGACGTATCAGAAATTAGGATATATAGAAATCATATTTCCTGTATTGTGTAGGTTTAGTAGGAAATTAACGAAACATGCGAAAACATTGAAGTTGACCAAAGTCATGTTTCTTTTCATCGTACTTGGGTTCCTTTCAAAACCGCACATCTATACTGATTATAATTCGTGAACAATTGCGATGTGATTGATCGAAATGGCAGACCATTATGAGGACAAGTACATTAAGTATCTTAGAAGTGTGTAGTTGATTTTGCAAATCATAATTGAATGTGTAACATAAACAGTACATAAATGCAAAAAAAGAATAACACAGCCGTTTTAATTCAGTTAACATTTCAATCATCCGCTGATTATTCGTTATACAGTTCGGTCTATTTTCTTTGTGATAACAGGCTATTTTCCAAGTTGTTATTTGAATTTTTTGATTTTTTTTTTTAAGTAGGGCACTTCTACGTCTTGGTCCAAACCTGTGGTCTAAAATGCCAAATATATAACTATTACATTAAATGTATTAAGAATTGAGGAAATAAAGGTGTTGTGTTCAGGAATAAAGGTGTTGTGATCAGGATCTAAACTAGGTTACAAGGGTATAGACATGGATCTACTACATGGTATTGGTATAGTCCTCGTACATTGAAAAGTTTATAACAGTAGGCCTACTCTCCACACCCTCCCTTATCCATTGATTACGTAATCACTATTGGACAGGTCTTATTCTGAAGAGTTTGTACACGCACACGCAAATGAGTCATTAATAAGTCATCCCCATAGTAAATTAGGACATCTATCAACACAGACTTATGACATGAAGTTTGGTTAAGCTTTTAGTTTCTCACTTCATGCCAATGTCGTATACTTCTAGGACTATCATTTAGCAGAGCTTGAATGTGTGCTCTGATTTTCCTTTGCAATAATTGATCTATTAAGTTTTCTGTTCCACAGCACATGATGGGTGCTTCAGGTGAGAGTTTAACACCCGATAGAGAGGAATTATAGAAATGAACTGGTTGATATTATATGATATAACATCATCATAATAATATAACCGGGATTATATATTTCCAGCGCAATGGATGATATTAAATCGAAACAGATATAAGTAATTTAACCCACAAGTACCCCTGCTAAAGTGGTCTAGCAGGTGTATACACCTGCTAGACCACCTTTTTAGACCCTCCTTTTCGGCTCACCTTTTTTTTTCTATTCGAAGTTTGAGTAAATTAAATCATAATTTTATGACGATGTTCAACATGTTGATAATAATAATACGTGCCCAAATATTTCTACTTTATACATAAATGTTCAATGGCAAATTTCTTGGAAAATCATAATTTTATTTTGGAATTTATTTCCTGTATTCATTCAAACTACGTGTGGGGTTTGTGTGTGTGTTGTAAGTGGAGAGGGTGGAACAGAAATCCTACAAAATCCTATTAACCGCTTATTACACAGGATTATTCATAATGCTGCAATGAAAACCACACAGACAAGGTTATGATTATGTAACACCCCCCCCCCCCCCATCATTAGATATGCAGACAAAAATCCCTAGAAGTAAAATGATATTAACAATGTGCCCCTTTGTAACTACGTATATGTATCATATAAATCTCAGTTAGCATCATTGGTCAATGTACATCCTTGGATACACACTGTGTACAATGTAAGTCCATTATTCTTAGACATGCATCAGAAGTGATGATGAATAGCCTACGTTATAACACAACAAACATCAGGCTTCCACTCATCGAATGCTTCACAAAAGTTACCTCAATTTTTTACAAGCATTTGAAGGACTTCACGAAAGCGGCTTATTAAAACACCATTACATCTCTTTTCACAGACTAATCTTAAGGATAAGTAACCGGTTACTTCACAAGAGTAGATAGAGCGATGGAAAAGAAGAGATTTGGATAACTCCTTCTTGAGGTAGTTATGGCAGCTTAGCTTCAGGCTTTTAAGGACACTGATTTTCATTTTCTGCCATAAATTTAGATTATGGCACGACGAAAGTGTCCTGCATCCTATAAAACATGTTCTAAAACCTGTTGTGGTACAAAATATGTTCAAGCTTGGCAAGAGGTTTTAAGTTTTAGTTCTAATCGTCTCATTTAACGAGATGTAAAATGATGACAAGCGGGCAATTCTACAGGTTGAAGAACACACAAAGCTGTTTTAAAAGATCATGTATCCGTAATATGACTCACTTTACATTCTGCTAGAAATGTCTCCATTTCAGAGTAATCATACTTTGTCAATAAAATCATCGGTAGTATTACAGAAGTGGAACAATGTATCTTTTGCAGTTGAAACACAAAATGTCCGAATTCCGTATAAATAATCCGTTAGTGGCATTACTTTGTTTAAAGTCTGCGCCATTTTTGTGTGTAAGTAATGTCCTATCATTTTTTAAATTTCAATATGTTAGCAGGCCCGGCCTAGCAGGTATATCGCCTGGCCCTGAAATACCTGCGAACTATAGAAAAAATACATGTAATTCCATTACTTCTCATTGTGAAATTGCCCAGAGTGGAAATAAATTTTGTGTTACATGGCAATAGTCATTGTTATGAATGGAAATTATATTTCAGTAGGGACTAGCTAATTAAACCGCTGCGACAAAATGAATGTTTGCGCGGCTCATAACGATATAATATCACACAGCCCAAACAGGATTTCTACAACGTGCGGTAAGGCGATTGTTATTCGTTTTTCGAAAGTCTTTGCAATCGTATTGACTAGCTAAACTAAGAAAGACAATGCTTACCTGCTGCATCTAGTCCTAACATCAATATCCTCGATTCCCTGTCCCCATTCATCGGGAATCTACAGTCAACACTCAAAATATCCGATAATTTTCCCATCACGTGACCCATGATGAACGCTGTCTTCGTCGATTTCGAAAAGAACTTGAGAAAGTTTCAGACGATGACGACGACGAGCTACCCACTCCGATGGAGGGTTTTATGTTCTTATTTAGTTACCTCGCTACCCCTGCATCGACCAATGGTGTAGCTGGAAACCCCTTGATCTTGCAAGATGTGAGGGGGGGGGGCAGTGGTATCCCTTCGCTTTCTATTTCCTTCCACACATCAACGTTAATGGTGCAGCTTTACCCCTCTTTCCTGGGATTCAAAAGTTGGCAGGTTGGAGTTAAGGGCCTAACGGAACAGGTTCATTATTGCCAGGGTTGTATCTTTCCACCGACGTACCCCTTCTTCTCTAAGGTGAATCGAGAATTTTCAAACTCTCGGTTGGGTCATGCCGCTTAATCCTTCCAGTGAATGTCCTACCTTAACGTCTATCAAAGACAATAGAATATGATAATTCTATGATGAAGGACATAAACTTAGTCAAGAAACAGCAGCAAGATGTAGGCCTGTATTCTGTTTAAAGGAGAGTCTAGCTTACTTCCAAAAAGATCATAACAATTTCCAAAAAGAAGAGAGCAAAAAACTGACGTCTGTATGGCTTCTGAATCCACAACACGTTATGCGATGCTGCCTGCAGTGACCACTTTGCCAGTTGCCACAAACTTTTCAAGAGAGACGCACAGAAAACAGGGAATATAATATAATCCCTTCACGAGTAATATCCCGTATCACGGTCGGTCGCGTTTTTGGCTAACGCTTGGGTTAATAGGGTATGAGTAATCCCGCTCTAGCTTTTCCTCTGCAGACGATAATATCATCGGCTATTTCTATCCGCTACAGATTCACAGATCTAAAAAGGCCTTTAAACATGATATATTGCAAACGATATCGCAGTGTGGCTGGAATATTGAAGTATGTGTATATACATTACTTCGAAGATCGGGAAGTGCAATTAGGTGAAGCGATCTCTATACAAAAAAGAGACAGTCAACAATCTACGTCACAGTGCACCGCGAGTCCATGCATGCACACTCTACTTTGTAATTGTCCCTGATTGTGAAGTCTAGAGTAGGCCTACGGTTGAAAGTTTTGGAGAGTGTGCAACACGCATGAAAGTTAGTTGGCCAATCACAGCGACGATTTATGTTCAAGTACATATTCTAGGTGTACTTATAATTCTAATATTTCTAATATTTCTAATATTAGTGGCGGATCAAGCATTGTCTGGATGGACTTTAATTTCTCCATGAACATGGGTTCTTGAAGCCCATCTGCCCTCATGCAGCAAGACACTGTTACGCTACTGCTGAGTACTGCTAAGCTACTACTACTACTACTACTACTACTACTACTACTACTACTACTACTACTACTACTACTACTACTACTACTACTACTACTACTACTACTACTACTACTACCACCACCACTACTACTACTACTACTACTACTACTACTACTACTACTACTACTACTACTACTACTACTACCACTACTAATACTGCTACTATCACCACCGTCAATACTGCTACACTGCTTCTACTAATGCTAACAGGCTAGTCTATTGATTAGTCGTTAGTCCATTTTATTTGTTTTTGTTTTTGTTTTGTTTTTGTTTTGTTTGGTCCGATATAGTTTTGGGTTATTTTTTTTCTTTCGCTGTACACAAACGCCTCAGTGCTGCATATTTTAGAGACTAGTATAAACGCAGTTGGCGCTAAACAACTATCTAACATTCCACCCACATTGAGCTATTCCCGTCTGCTCTGCAAATGCATTACTGGATAAAACAACCCTTATCAATAATAACAGTGACTTTGCGAGAGAGAGAGAGAGAGAGAGAGAGAGAGAGAGAGAGAGGGGAGGGGGAGGGAGGGAGGTAGGAGAGAAGAGAGTCAAAGGGGGGGGGTAACAGTCGTATAGATTCTAAAGAAGGTTAAAGAGAATCTAGAGCTATATTATTAATATTCCATAATTAGTATGCTTCCCTGTCTCATGGATCTCCCCCCCCCCCATCATTTCTTCCTCGTACCTCTCTCTCTCTCTCTCTCTCTCTCTCTCTCTATTTACTCCTTTTTCTTTCTCCTTTCTATCCATCTTTCTTCTTCTACCCTCCCGTTATATACCCCCTCTCTCTGCATATCTACCTCACCCTATATCTCTTCCTCGTAACTTTGTCTCAGTCTTCTCTTTCTAATGCTTTAATCTCTCTCTCTCTCTCTCCCTCTCTCTCTCTCTCTCTCTCTCTCTCCCTCTCTCTCTCTCTCTCTCTCTCTCTCTTCGAGACTAGTTTTTGTATCAACAAAGAGTGGCTGAAAACGTCATGGAGTATTACGTCGGCTTATTTATTCAATAGTTTCATATAACATATTTTAAAAATATATATATATTAAGGCACCTTGTAATCTGCACCAAACAAATACACAGTAAAAAAAAAAAAAAAGCAAAGACCACGGGGAAAACAGTATAGACGATCACTTCTTAATACCATGCTCCCTGTATTATTTTAATATAAATCACATGAAATCATTTTTAAAAAGCTGAATTTTTAAACTATGGGTGAACTGGCTGTTGAAATGAAATGCAGTCATAATACTCCACATTCTACATTCTTTGGAATTCTCAATCAGCCGAAGTAAGTGGTGAAATACGAGAAAAGCCATCGTTAATATTTATATTTCTTCCATAATTATAACTAATACTAATGAAAGTTTATATCCACGTGTTCATGCACTTAAATCAAACTTAAGGAAACCCAACGATCGCAGAGAAGACAAGGAAGTACGTTTGCTCCTTGAGATTGTGCTATCAACATCGTCAAATCGAACTGTCTTAATGATTATGTATCAACTAAAAGTTTCACTTCTTTAAGTGTTGACAGGAATAGTAATGATAAAAGCTACATTCATATCCGCACGTATCCATCCAAGGGGATGCTCAAGGAGCCTTAAAAATACTAGTATTACATTGGTATTACCAAGCTGCCTTTATGCTTTAAAAGCATTCAAAAAATAAATTTCTACCAAGTACCCATTTCCTACACCTAGATCGAGAGTGGCAAATGTAGATTAATGTCTTGCCAAACGGCATTAGTGCCGCGACGGGACACGAACCGCGGACTATCTGAAATGTCCACTAGACCACGGCACATCTAAAGTGTAATAATGGTAATATATCTTCAGTTTTTGTATAGCGCATGTCACATATCTATTAAGTTCTCTATGCACTTCAAAAGAGCTTTGTTTTCACCGGAATTATGAAATGACAAGTGGCCTATTTCATATATAAGAATGACATTCACTTGAGAGTTTCAGTCTCATAAAGGCAATGCTTAGCTCGTTTGTAAGAGATCAAGGAAATCATAATTGCCATACAGGCGTTTAAAAGGAAATCTCACCCCAAAGAACAAGTGTAGGTATTCTGAAAATGAGATGTATTCCTGCCCTTTGATGTACAATATTCCTTACGAAAATGTACAAGAGATATGTAAATGAAGATATTCATGGCATGATATTATGATGCCTTTTATCACCGCATGGGCGCAGCCATTTTCTTGAAAATGTGACAAAGATGTTGAAATTTTACATGTATATCATGCACCAAGCTTTAGTTGAAATTTTTTATATCAATACCAAAAGCTTTACTTTCAATGATTAAATTCATAGCTGAGAAGATAGAAATTATATCTCGTGAAAAATATATAACAGGGGAATAATTGTAACGAATTCATTTATGCAATGAGAAACCTGCACCCCAGAAGAGCATCAACTTATTAACGCAATTTGCGTTCTGGCAATTGAAGTACAAAGGATAATAGCAGGTGAATGAAAATGCTTCATCACCACACACACCTGGGAAGAAAGCATCCATAAATTTGATAAACGACTTCACATAGTGCGTCATGTTATAGAAAATGGCGATGCCCATGTCGTGCTGAAAAAAAATGTATACATTATTCTTGCTTTATGCCTCTCACATACTCATGGTTGGGAATTGTGTAAATTGATGGGCAAGAATATAAGTGAAGTTATTTCTTGGGGTGAGGTTTCCGTAATAAAGTGATCAGGAATCAAAAGTATGGTAAATTACGTGCCGTAATGGAAGATTGAATTGTAAAATGCACCCAGCAAAACAATGAACTATTTACATGATAATAAACGAGATACCTGGGATCCGTTTCACAAAGCCTTTTTACAATGACAAATGACAAATATCAGTGACAAATCTGCTGATAACTAATCACAAGCAAGGAGTTCGGTAGCTTATAACAACAACTGTCATTTGTCACTGATGACAAGTTTCGCGAAACACCCCCTGTACAACGATAAAGACCCTTTTCAATGTGACTTTAATACTGTGCAGTTTTGACTCTGCCTCTGACAGTCCTGTCCGTTATAAAACATACTAAATTTAGTCCAGTTTCTCACTGGACTGATCAGTGGAAATAGTCATAAGTCTATAAACGTATGAAACGCTAAGTATCAACTTTTGTTTATGTCGTACAGGTGCCTTGATTCTTTTGAATTGAATAAATGAGCAAAAATCATCCTGCATCACATTCCTGTCACGCCTTGGTTCATATCACCCGTTCATAATGTACATGCCTGAATTCATGCATTTCTTTTTTACAGAATAAGAATAGAAATAGAAAGGTAAGCCAGTGCAATAAGTGAACTAGAGTCTAATTTCAGTCTTATATAAATACATATCAATATGTTGAAATATTGTTCATCGATTATCTTACATCATCGCTAATCCAACAGTCATGTGACAGTGATTGTTGCGCGATTAACATTCACGGGCGTCTGTTCCAGACACACGTAGCCAGAATTTGATGTTTGGGGGGGGGGGGGCACATACATGTAATCGATCGAGGTAAAAAAAAAAAGGGGTCTAAAAAAGTTCAACCGATCTTGGAAATTTAGGGGGCACGTGCCCCCCCCCCCCCCCCCCACCGTGGCTACGTGCCTGGTCTGTTCTATTCAGGATTGGGGGGGGGGGGCAGAGGGTAACTGTCTCAAGTGGACCCCAGGGTTGACACCCCTGTTATGACGCCTTTTCATCTGATCTTTAAAGAAAATTCCCAAAAGACGTTGCTCAAGATCCTTCTGCCATCTACACGGCCAGCCGAATTGTGACGAAGAAGAATTCAAATTGTGCTTCTACACAGACCTATATATAGTTTGGTTCTATTTTCACTCTATTACTATTTACAAATAACTATACATCAACTAATCATGTGAATAGCATGGCGGAAGTGCCTGGGTATGTACATTGTCCATTGCGCAGTTCATATAGTCTAAACAAATATGCAAGATGATAATTTCGATGAGAGATATATAATTATACCCAGGAGGAACTTTCTTCTTAATATACATTCATATACCGTACGCCAGATACTCAGCATTCGATGTAAGTCCTCTTGATGATATTATTTGAGACGTGTGTTTTTCTTCCTTGTTTAAAGATCGTATAAGGAAATGGAAACTGTATCTCATCCTGCTTATAACCAAGCTCAGAAAAATGATGTTTGGGTAAAAATCTTAATTATTGTTCATTTTGTTTTCTTGTTGGTTCGTACGGGATAGCATAAATGATGTACAGCTCATCGAAGACTGACAGTGAATGAAGTGCATCATTTTTTTTTTAAACAAGCTTATACAAAACTTAACAAAATAGTAACATCATCTTTTTCCCCATGAATATTCCTGAATTCCTGACACAGTGTCAGCACCTCGTCAAACATGTCTGGAAGATAGACTCTCCAGATGTTTAGTGTCACACAAAGAGTTGTCAGTAGTTTTTCAGTTAGAACATGTCGAATGCTAGATCTTCTATTTCCTGTAATTTTGTCAGACGTCCGTTTAATTTTGCACCATCTGTTGTCATATCCCATCGATAAGTACTGTATTCGTGATGATTTATGAGCAGTAAATTCACAGTGTCTTTTTCCTTCACTCGTCACAATCACGAAGACGATGCTTCTTTCTTCATGTTCTCTTTCTTAAAATTCTTGACCATCTTGGCTATCTTGGTCATTCCTTCTAGGAGTCCCTCTCCGGATATGGCTGAAATGGCCTGGATGTGCCAAGGGTTCCTGGTAACCCTCCTCAGGTCTAGGGTATCACTGATCTTCGAGACCGGCTCTGCTTCTGAATGACATGAAAAAAAGGGCAGAAAAATCGTGATAATTATGATATTAAATAAAGATATTGTTTAAGAATCGAAAGTAAAATACGCTTATAGTCGAATAAACAATGGTTTGTTCGTCCGAACATGCCGAGGGCTCGTTAATCCAAAAGTGCATTACCAGGAAGTGGCGTTATCCAGCACTTGTAGGCGCTGCATGTAGCCCAACCCCCCCCCCCCCCGACTCCGTTTCCATGATGACATAGAACAAAATAATGCTTGCAGTGAGGTTTGACATTAAGGAGGGTTGCCTTTGACAGACCAAATACATTCCGTCCGTTCGTCCACAGGGGAGTCCGCCTTCATTTTTTTTCGAATTCTGGATACGCCACTCCGTGAATCCGGGGGCAAAGTATTCCAGAGGTAATGTAGTACTTAACCTTTGGAATAACGAAACCAAATTCGTAGCGCTGTCTGATAAAGGGAAAACTCGTGCAGAGTCGTCATCGCCAATGACTATCTACAGGAGGAAATCGATAAGATTGTCAGAAAATGTTGATGGCATCATCCTAAAGGAAAGGATCCTTTGTATGTCGACGGTAGGCTCAAGGAGGAAATGCAAATGGAACATAGTTATTACTACACCATGTATCTATATCATTACATGCTTAGACTATTCCTCATGTCAACTCAGAAAAACATATTGTTATAACAACCCTCGCTACTTGGCAGGGATATAATTTACATCAAACGACTCAACAGCACTTAAAAGTAATGTGTAGGGAGTGAATATAAATATATTCACTCCCTACACATATAATTTACATCAAACGACTGAAAAGCACTTACAAGTAATGTGTAGGGAGTGAATATTCACTCCCTACACATTACTTTCAAGTGCTGTTGAGTCGTTTGATGTAAATAATATCCCTGCCAAGTAGTTATAGCTGAGTACAGACGCAGATGTCTAGAAATAGACATACGCAGGGGAAAAAGCGGTACGGAGACACGTCCCCCCCCCCCCATATCGAATCACGAAAAAAGAGGGAAAGGAAAATATAAGAGAGATAGAGATAGAATGAAAAGAAGATGATACCACCCCAATATCTTCCCCTTTACCATAAGCTTGTTCTTTCACGTTTAATCCACTGTTTGAAAACCGTATGCCCCCGGCCCCCCTCCCCTTTTCCCCAGCGCCTCCTCAATCGCTCAGACCCTCGCTACTCTAACTATGCTGTTACTTCTCATTTTACCTTCTGGCTATAACAGAATACTGACAAAATAAATTAAATTTGACTAGGTGAGTCAATAATGAAAATGGTTGAGTGGTTATTTTATCGAGGAAACGACAGTTAAGTAAATACATTCGTAAATGTACACGATTGTTTTAAAGTACATGTATATTAGTTTGCAAAAGAAATATGCAGTTAAATACGGAGTATCGATGGTATAGCAACTTTACTAAGATAGGAATTGCTTGTCAAGCAAGCACACGAGGGGATTTACCGAGAAATAATGTTGCAAATAGAATGATTTGACTTCCTTGTACATGAAATCTCTCACTTCTAAAAAATGTAAATGTTTTACCTGTTTATCACTTACATTATGGTTTAAGTATGTAGTGACTTGACCTTTGGAGAACTTTGCATTTGTAAATATTATTGTCTTGTCTTTATTGTGTGGCTTGAAGTCTAGCCTTTTATTCCATTGTCACTCATTTCTTTAGTGACACCTGTTGCATTACTAGAGTGCCACAAATACTTACTCTGGCAAGCACATTCCATACCCTATGGGTTGGGATGTGCAACCACCTAATGTACTGGTATAGCTTATACTGTACAGGGACATTACACTTGCTTGCTTTATTTGCCACACCTATTTTCATCACTTCTCCTGAGCTGTTCATATAGAGCACACCTATTCTAGAGAGTCGATCGATCAACAGCAAAGCTAATTCAGCTTCATCTTAATTCTTGTCCTATTTCTTCGCTTGTTTCTCTACTCGGTTCTGAGGCCTTATTACTTTATAGAGATTATAAGTTTCTTCTTCTTTACTTAATTCGCGAAGAAGCGTCATTACTTTGTACATGGTCTTACATATTCTTTCTACGGGTGCTGTGCAATATTTGAACTACTACTTGTGATATAATATATGTTCCAAGTATCTGTACTCAACAGGTGTTTCTACGAGACAAGGTAGGAAAGAAATCTATTTCTATTTCTTTTATTTAGGTGATTAAATTCCCTAAAAGTATCACGTCGTATGTGTCCATTGTAAATATAGGGAATTACTCATGAACATTATAATTATCCATGCAGGATAATTAATCCCTCGATGACGTGAAAGCTCGTTATGTATTGATGAGAGTGAATAATTACTTCTAAAGCTATACTTGAATCTGGATGTTTTATATTTTATTAGTCTGTTGATTCAAAAGTAGCTCATGAAAGCGATGTTGTAAAAACTTCATTAATATCTACTTCACGCTTCTCCATGCAGTCTTGTAAAGAAATATAACTAGTAATATACAAAGTGTTAGACTTAATGTGATTGAGTTATAGAGTAGAGCAGAGAGGGTGTCTCCATAATTTATATTACCCAGAGTTTCAGACAGAGAAACAGAAGGAAAGGCAAGAAAGGGTGTTAAATACATGTTTATAAGAAAAGTGGTAAAACGATAATATGAAAGAAAATCTGAAAGAGTAGCGCGACAAGAAAGAAAGTTAAGACGGGGGAGAACAGAAAGAGAAAGAGATCAAAAGGAAAGTGAAAATAAACTTCGCAAGGTGTACTTCATGAGAAAAATTACCTGCACAGATGATATGACGGCAAATTTAATCATTTACGTAACGACTGTTTGACACGATTAACAATTGTGTATACTGTTGGCATGTGATGCTAAACATAAATGCCTTATTATAGACTGCATTGTATTTTGCCTTCTCAATATTTCAGGCAATGTCAACGTTTATCAGATTTCCTAGTGAGAAAAATAGTACTCTACTTCCTGCTACTTGTATTTATCTTGTTGTTATAAAGGGGGCTAGATCAAATCCCTCCAGAAGATTACCCCTTGGACAACTTTCACTCGGTTCCCTTCCCCCAGGCATGGCGTAGTCATGAATTTTCAAGTGGTTGAGGTGGTGACATTAACGGACAGCCAAATTGCAACCAACTACTTTCATTTGTTTCTACTTTACGGGGATATGTTGTGTGCATTGTTAACCTGACAACCGATTCCCTTCCATAATCATCAACGGTGGTGTGTGTGTGTGGGGGGGGGGGGGTCAAAAATGCTTCCATGTTTGCCCTTGTCCGGCCTTTTAGATACCCCTTCATATTACTGACTAAATCAACCATTAGAGTACGATCTTACCACTCATATCTGTTTGTTGCAGAGGATGAGAAGAGGGGTCCCATCCACGATATCATCTGAATTAAGCATGTTAAATAACTCTTCCCGTGCGTCCAAGAATCGCATCTGATCTGCGCTGTCTATCACGAAGATGATACCTGTTAACAAACATCACAAAGTACAACCAAAACAAAATTAATGAGATATTTCAAAATGATAATGAGAAAGGAAAGTTCAAATACTCCGGTGGCGGATTTAGGTTAAGGTTCTCTGCAAAGTAAAATAAAACATGATTGCCATTTATACAAATTAATTGTGGAAACTTAAATTGCTGTTTGTGACTATTAGAGACATATTCTTCTTATGTGTTTAATGTGTACTTAAGTTATGCCGGATTTTGGGTTGGAGATAATGTAACGCCTCTGCTCAGCCCCCCCCCCCCCCCTCCTCCACCTGTTCTATCATAGGTGCATGTAAGCGAAAATTGATTCGTAACATTGTGACTTGTATCATGTACCTACTATGACAACCCACCATCCATCAAATCTCGATAAAAAGTATTCAATCCTTCACTTTGTAAAATATATCTAATATTTCCCCTTTACTGCTAATCAACTAAAAACTGACCTGATTTATTTTTCCTCAATTGATGTAGAATAAATAATTGATGACATTTCTGTTTATCACTCACTTATAACCAAAGAGCACTGAAAAATATTACTTTGAAGTGTCATGTTATTACATCATAGTTTAAAGGGGATTATTATGTCAATAATCGTTATAAACCAATTCTGTTTAAAAAGAGTACAGATCTTTGAAGGGAAGCAAGCAATGTTTGCGGATCCAGAACCCAGAGTACGGGAAATTAGAAATTTGTAAATAAAGACGACGATTTAATGGTAAATCAACAAACAAACAAGCAGACAAACAATACAACTCAAAGGCCATTAAACAAAAAATTACAGATTGCTTCATTTTTTTCCAAGTATAGTTGACTCAGATTTTTGAAAGTGCAACCATATAGAAAGTGAAAGCATTCATAATAGGAACTGCTTTATAACATGTCATTTTCTCTAACTGATATCAACACCTAGAGTAAAAGATTAGAGTAGTACAAAAGTATACTGCACGGGCAAAGGTTTTAATTACACAGGGCATTATCATGGGATAATAAAACTCTATGTTTTTAATATAATATCTGCATAAAAACACAAAATATACAATGCAGTCGTTTTAACAGTATTATAAAGTTGGAGAAAAAAAATGTTTCAAATGTAATGTTTCTATATATAAAGGGAACATTTCAGCTGAGTTAAATGATTTTGACAATGCCAAGAAAAGACCTATTCTTATATTTTCTCGTCTTTGTCTCGCCTTTGTACCAACGATACATCGCATGTTCTGGTACTCGGCATATATTCTTGGTACACAAATTCTGTATATGCTGTATATCTTACATAGTTCTGGCTATGGGGGCAGATTACAGTACGTCTATTTTCATTCACTGCGATATGTACCAGGGACAGTCTCTGTCTGTACTACTCGAGAAATATATTACAATAGAGATTGTTATTACAGCATATAAGATATCTGAATTATAGGTTCATCGCACGTACGTGCTGTCACCCTCCACGGTTATGGAGTTTATATAGTTCAGTCGCAAAAATTGCAACTATAGAGGTTTGGGGCTGGGGCACCTTTTCCCATTTAAAATTCAAAATTGAAGGGGTGGTGAGAAGGCAGTATGACTAGCCTACCAAATCAGTCCCCCCCCCCCCCCCCCGCGCGTTTATCCCAAGGTATTCGTGGCGCCCCATCCTTCTTCCCGTCTTGTCCCTCGCTACGCCATCTGTACTGCATCCATGATCAATGGCAAATTTCATACTCATTAGCCATTTGGAAACGTGGTTTCAGTTATGATTGGTAAGAATATGTTTAATGATTTGCTAATACTGGGTCCTTAGGATTTATTGTGACTCTCTATATATATGTCAAGATGTTGTTATATCATGCAAAGTTAGAATGACCGATCCTGGTGTTTGCGATTTACTATTGAACCTGTATCCGACTTTCTCTCTAAAATTGATATGTTCTGGTTGAATTTGTCAAATCGTATTCAATTTTGATATTATTTCTTTCGTAATTTGATCATTTCAAGTCAAGGCTAGAAATCTGTGGTATGCCTTCACACGCGAGGATTATAAATGAATCGGTTGCCACGGAAATGACATCGTATGTTATTGTTTTCAAAACCTTTATCTCCATAGACAAGTTTGGTTTCAACGACAAAATTACTACGAAAGTTAGCAATATAAACAAATTGTCAGACTGAGGTACATGTAATATAGTCATAAAATTAATTTGCGGTTTTTTGTTTTCTTCATAAAGCGCTGCATGTGCCGCACGTAAAGGTGGTGTGAATATTCTAAATAGGATAAAGACGGTATATCGGCCCGTATATTAAGCGCATTATAAATCCAGATTTATTATCATATTATATATTATGTCTAATTTGTATACTAGTTGTTGCCTTCGTGCTATTAAACGAGTTTTACATTATGACAACATCGCAGACCTGGAGTTATTTGTATCTTCATCATTATTTACTTACCAATTCAAAAAAACATAACTCATGATGTTTATCATAATTTGCGTAAGCTCTATAGATAATCTATATTAGTGTTCTACTACAAAATCGTAATACCAATATTGAATTGAAATCGGAGTCTATATAACCCTGGTTAGTGTAACAATGACAATGGTGACCCATGAGTATAGGTTCTCAGGTAGTCCTTCCTATCTGTGGGTCGGCAGGAATTTATCACTTCCTCCCCAATAGGTCCAGGAACTTCCTTTTTCCGAGTGGTCCAAGTTTCACTGTAAATAGGTTTAGGAAACCACCTACTGCTTGATAGACAAGGCATGCATGGGGCATCTGTTTGAATGCCCTTGCCAATGTTACATCAAGTCATGCACAGTGTAAATACTAAATAGTGTTGCTGAAGACACAGAGAACTGTATAGGCCGAATATGTGTGGAAGGAATGTATAGTTTATTGAGACCTTTCGATGTTTATTTTCCTTTTTTTTCCTTCTATAACCCATTCAAGCGTATACCTTATATCAGATACAATCCCCACGTTCGTTAGAGGCATACTTGAGGGGGATCCAGGGGCGAAACTGCTGCCTCTCCCTCAATGAAAAAAAAACCAACTGACGATTGAACACTAGCTTTTTTAGGGGTGGATCCCCCCTTACAATCCTTGGGTCAGCGGAATTCCTTCAAGAACAAAAAAATATAAGGATTTTTTTTCTTCTTTCGGATAAACTGTACGGTCCTCTTCGAACACTCACCCACTGGGAAATTTTGGAGAGGATTGGCGAGATTCCCGAAATCATGTTCCTAGGAAAATCTAGCCTACCCCTCCCCTCCCCCCCCCCCCCCCCCCCCCCCCCCCCCCTCTGACACTCCCGGTCCGCCCTGCAAAGTCAATTATTACACGGAAAAAGCAGTGGAGATCTAATTGTGCAGTAACACAATGGTACATTTTTGTGTATCAACACTATACACACTCGAATAGAGTTGATTGTTTTTGTCGATTGTCACATGCAATTATTGCGGTTTCAATTTCGAGCGATATAGACTATATGGCCTTAGTAAGAAAGGAAACAATTAAGTGAAGTACTTATTATTTCCAAATATCAATTAACCAACTACAAGCGAAACAATCTACATCCATAATATACCCACGTGATTTATTTTTGAAATGTGAAGTAATATCTTAATTATAGCAATGTAAAGGAAAGTTATGAAGAACGATGAGGATGCAAACGTTGATCAGGTATTCAATATCCTGGTATTATAATTCATCTATTTTGTTTCTATCACGTTTTCTCAAATTAATCAGAAAGGAAGAAAACTGGCATACCAGAAGGAAAAGCCTTTTTTTTAATAATTATTTTTAATTGGAAGAAACAATTTTGAAGTACGTGTAGCTAGAAACAAAAGAATTATAAATTGTATGTTTTCATGTCATGATTAGTTTGTGCAAACCTGAATAGAAAACATTGTTTCATCACTTATGAACAGAATGAGTTGGGTTATTGATCATGACTGTGTTATTGCTGTTTTATGGTGAATTGATCTCCACTCCTGCTTTAAAGGCCCACTGCACTACTTGTAGCTACTTGCGCCCTCTATATAACAAACAATGCCTAATCGGTGACCAGTGGTCCCCCATGATCCTCTTTTTCTTATGTTAACTGAGAGCTGAGTTGATGAGATAACCACCTGTCCAGTGACCTTGCAGGGCAGTCTAATCCCTCCTGTAAACTACGGCAGATAAGCTTTAAGGAGTATGCAAAGTAGATACAAATTCCGACAGATGTTGCAAGAAATTGAATGTCAGATTATACTTATTTATTTGAGATACATCTACATTGAGCGCTGAAAATTATTATTTGGTGTACGTGCAGATGATAATGTCGGTCAAAACACATCTGTTTATGTTGCATAGTCTCAATAACCATGATGCTATGGAGATAGAGGGATAGATTAATGTATTTTGTTTTTATATTAATTTCACTAAAAGAGGACAACAACTGAGTAATTAATTTATATTAAAATAAAAACAGTAACTTTTATAATGGGGCCTAAAATTGTCCCTTCTTTACGAAGACAACATGAATGAGAATAAACTTTAATCAAAGTTGGCGAGTATGTACATGGTATATTTGACTGAAACTATTATTTTGTCTATATATAAGACTTATATAGCATCATGATTATTTTCTATTCTCCATTTTTTATCTGTTTAGAGAAAGATTTCGCAGGTATAGGGATATGATAAATGAACAAAACTGGATTTAGATCAAGATCTTTTTCAGTTTTAAGGTAATTGTCACACATGTCTTATAAATGAATGAATATGGAAATGAGGAATAATTGAAAGTGCAGTTGCATGCTTTAATTCTTCAGAAGCACTGTTATATATATATATATATATATATATATATATATATATATATATATCACTACGAATGATAATGATCATGTATAAAAGGGATTGTATCAATAGAGAACATGATAAATGAGCAATGGATACTTTCATCATGCACATAACATAAAGATAATAAATCCCCAATACTCGAAACCAAGAAACTCAGGAAAATAAAACTCTCATTTCTGTAATAGAAGTGAGAGTATTAATTATTAACTACCACACAACATCGAAATCAAACGTCTCCATTGAATACCACAGTAATGCAATTTCTCACTTTGGCATCATGACTGTGTGTATGTAATATGTAACTTGTAATGTATTACTCCTCGAAAGTATAATGTAGTGATCTGTTCATTGTTCATGGGGGCGATTGTTTATCTATGGAAAAGGAAGTGGGTTATCTGATATGTGGTAGGAAGCCCAATGCTGTGTGATTGGTTTCTAAAATAATGTTCCAAGATAAATGTTAACCATCTTCAAACAATGTTAGCATACTGTCAAAGTGTCAGGATCGTAAACACAAAAAGCGACCTTATAAGAAACACTGATGCACGTCCAAGGGGACTATATGCATGACTAAACTTCTAAATATTTTACTACCGTTTTACGGTTTAAAGATATTTTAACTTTCTTTTATAAGAGAAAGTTAAAAATTACAAAGCAAAGCGATAATAATTTTAGTTCGAAAACGTAGAAATGATGTACTTTCATTATGAAAACAAACATGTGACCATATTCTTTGAATATTTAGCACTCGTTACGATCTGCATTATAGATTTATTTACAACATTTTGAGAAAAAAACCATAAAGAGCTCGCATTGTTGTTTCAATGTATTTTGCTAAAATCCTCCTCATAGATGGACAGGACCCGTGGCGTATAAAGCATAGGATGCATTGGGTTAACGACCCCCCCCCCCTCCCTCCACCCCCTTCCCCCTCTTGCCTGACGAACAAAACCAATCAATCAAGTGATATAAAATGGTGCCAGTTGCATGACGAGGAAAATAAATAGATATAACTTAATGTAATGTTATCTGTTGGTGCCTTAGATTAATGGGGGTAAGTATGAATATATCAGGGGCAAATATTTGCCCCTCTCCTGCTTATAAAACATTTGGATACGCCCCCGAGGTTAATGAAAGATAGTATAATTACCTTCCGTGCCTACATAGTAATGCCTCCAGAGTGCCCTTAGTCTCTCCTGGCCACCTACGTCCCATACTGTTAGAGTGAGACCAGGGACAGGTGTGATGGTCTCCACGTTGAACCCGATAGTGGGGATGGTCTGAACCGTCTCGCTGCATTTCAGCTTGTATAGGATCGTGGTTTTACCTGGTAGAAGAGATTGAGTAAAGATTGTAATTATCACCATCCTCATCGTCATCCTTATCGGTATATTAATCATTGTCATCATCATCATCATCATCATTGTGATCGTCATCATAATCATCATTGTATCATCGTCATCATCATCGTCGTATTCGTCGCCATCATCATTTTATCATCAACAACATCACCATCATTATCAACATCAAATTAACAACGTCGTTATAATTATCATTGTCATCAAGGGGCGTCGCCATCAGATAATTAAAATGGGGTTAAAGGTTGTCCTCAGGTTTCGGCGCAAGTTCCCGATAAGCAGCCCGCATTTTTGAGAAATTTACTGACAGGGGTAAAGAAGTCATTTTTCGAGAAAAAAAGGGATCTACCGAAACGGACAGGAACACAGTTATAAGGTGATGGGTGCTACATCCTCTCATCTCGATCCTGTTGCAATCATCTTCGATATGAACGCTAACACCGACCTCAACATCGTGATTATGTTCATCATCATCATCATCATCATTTTTAACACCATCAAAATTCATGACCTATAGGATTATAGAGGAAGCATTTGGGAGTACTATAATGATATAGTAGGATATCGGAAATGGCTTCTGTAGTTCACGACCCCGCAATTGAATCTTTTTGTCCTAAAGAAAACATAATGAAAATGAACTTAAAGATTGAAAACACAATTTGATGTCAATTGTGTGATGTGTTTCTTTAAATGTAATTTAACTAATCATATTCCAATTTCTTATATATAAGTGCATTTGCCATCAAGTATGTTTCCTGGTATAAATTGTTAAAGATCTCAACAAAAATTCAGGAACAATATTTTTTTATAGCGACTGGTGATGGCTACAAGAAACCAGATGTGCCTACAGTTTTCATTCTTTTCAAGGAATTCGGTAATCGAGCATCGATTTTGTTTTCAAACCCGGGACCTCCTGGTTAAGGAGACCACTGGTCCACCACTGAATCATCAGGCCTGTTATTGGAAAAGGTTTAATCATTCATATCCGATCCTTGGTGAAATACATAAACATTAGTAATCCGTAATTAAATCTGTTGGAGCTGTTTTAACTTTGCCTGAATAATCAGACCATGATACAAGACTCAGTGATCACGTGTCTAATCCAAGGCTATAGCCTATAGTTTCGGTTCTCAATTCAATAATCGTTATTTTTGTCTTCCAACATAATTATTAATCTTTTACTTGTATGATCACACGACTCTAAAATGCGACATTGAAACAGAATATAAGCTTATAATATAGAGAGGGGGAGGGGTATATTCAAATAATTACAGGCTTTATGTGGAGGTGCCTCACAATGTTTAATTGAAATGGCTTCCTAATTAATTAAAGTATATTTGATGAGGTTTGTGCAAAATGTGTTGAAAAACTTCTCTTTCCGTCATAACATTCCGTCCCAGTACAGACCAAATTTGTATTAAGCGACACAGTATAGTACTATTTTAATTGAAAGACTTTGAACTGTATACGATATCAATCACAGGGGTGGATCCAAACTATCAGAAGACGGAGGGGGGGGGGGGGGTAGCAGTTTTTCCCCACGTCTTTATTTTTGCTCGCAGAATATGTTTCATTGTGTGGCTTCATTTCGTCAGTTTTGTCACCTGTAGTTATTCTTTTTTTTATTATTCTAAAAAAAAAGGGTCCTTCACCCTTGGTTCGCTGTAATGTATTGCATGATCTCTCAATTGAAACGTGAAACGCGGAAGAGATAATTGATATTGTAATGTAAGGACCTTATATTGTTTGGTGCGTGCATAATACAATCCAGTCGGAATTTGGCTTTTGTAAGGGATTTTTTTTTCTTCACATTTTTATTTCATTCTAGAATTTATAATATAACATTTAAATGGTAATGTATTATAATCACAAATTTATGATAGTGTCTCAATCTTTCTCATGTATTCAATTTTCCATATGTAGACTATACTAAAATTATGAACAATCCTCATGTTATTTTGTAGTAAAATATGAGCAAGCAACTCCTAAATGAAAAGCTTTTCAAGCATGCAATGTTTACCCACTTTCATATTTTGTAAGTTCGGTATGAAAATGCCCTATGAGTCATTTAATAATTTATGCATTGTATATATTATACAGTAGGCTTACGGTTGCACCATGTGAAAGAGGGGGGATTGGCGAGTCCTGAAAAGGACTGTCGGTATTAAATCTTTCTTTCTTGAGAGTGTGGTTAGTCCTGAAAAGGACTGTTGGTAATCTTTCTTGAGCTCATAGTTCTAGTTCTATAAGCTCAAGAAAGATTACCAAAAGTCCTTTTCATTGTCATTTTCCTTTGTATATCTACATCACCATGCAAGCCGATACTTATAAGCAGCTTCTGTTTGTATGGCAGCGTTTTTTTGATGTTAAGTGACACTACGTTATTCATTCATTTGTTTATAATGTATGTCCAAGTGACTTTTCCTGGTACTGATTTTAAAGGTATTTTATTTTACCTCAGCTTTCTTTTATTTTTGGTTAGTTTTCAGAGCTTTCAGATGTTTTCTCTACGTTCTCCTAAAATAGCGCTTCGTGCAAAATTAACACCGCTTCGGCAAAATATACTGGAACTATAATATGTACATGATATAGGCCTGTCGTGTGTGACTAGTGTTTATCAAAATAGTTGAATAAATTATGTACTCTAGGCATATTGAATTTGATAAAAACATAGGAATTACGAAATGATGGATGTGCATGTAGGACCCGTGACCCTTCTTTTCTGTGTGGTGGTGTTCATGCGTGATGGTATATACAGAAAAAGAACTTACCTGCTGCATCCAGACCAAGCATGAGCACACGTGTAGGGTTCTTAGACCAATCGCCAAAGGCACTTGTAAACTTGGTCACCACGCCACCCATCTTTGGTCCTGTTCTGGTCCCTCCCTCACTGGTCTAGGAACTGTCTCCCTCAGCACCAACTAGTATATTATATATCGTCGGGAAAGCTTGGCGATTCATACGGTGTTTCTCGGTACCCTCGGCGTAGCAGCAGACAACGTCCTGAAGCTGGTGGGCAACTTTGTTTATGATCCCAGTAACGCTTGGTTCACATTACAGCTTCAATCTATCAAGTTCTATTCGGTGGCACCATTCTGCTAATCAACAACAGTTATGTCTATACCTCTACCATTGGTTTGAGTTGTTGTTCCGAGCTCGGCAATACGTTTACTAGATCAAATACCCAATACCCATTTGACTACAGCATTACAGAATTTTCTCCAATCTTCTTCCGCTCCCTCTCTCTGCCTCTCTCTCTCTCTCTCTCTCTCTCTCTCTCTCTCTCTCTCTCTCTCTCTCTCTCTCTCTCTCTCTTTATACTCGCACTGAAGTTCCAAATATATCACAACTCTGCGCGAGTATAATGGTTATCATATTTGTCCACGCGTGTCGCCTTCAGTTCGTTTCCGCGTTATTTGTGCATTGCAGTTACTGATTGGTTTATAACCTCGATAAGTGCCATACGTCATGGGAAGTTTAGTTTGTCTTTCCCTAATACATATTCGCGTTGAGCAAACTGAACACGAGGGTATATATACTTTTGGAGTTTTAAAATATCTCTTTCATGTAATGAAAACGATTAATATTAATAGTAAGCATATTAAGGTGTTACTTGTATAGCCCTCATGCCTGTCTGACCGTCACCGACCTACCACCCGGACAGTCACCCCCGGAGATTACCCTGGAAAACCACCCCAAAGACATCTACCCCCGGAAAATACCCACTAGAACAATTACCCCCTCTTCCCAGACAACCAGGACAACCACCCTTTAAGACAGGAAGTTCACCCCGATAATATGTTTTAATTTTTTTTCGGGGGGTTATTGTCCAAGGGGTAACTTTCAGTCCTGTCTGACATGACACTCCTGACGGCTGGCGCTCCACAATATCATCACCCGGCTTTAGTTGACTCCACCCTAGTCGAGTGTGGCAAAGGACGTTAGTGCTGCGACTGGGATTCGAACCCCGTATCCTATTTGATAAAGTAGGTGTTAATTACTCTACTAAATTAATTTAACTGTTTTAATCACATAGAATCTCCCCGTAAATCTAAAACTCCCATGTACTCTTAAAGTATTTTCAAAAAGGCAAATTGATCTCATGTAAGCTGTTAATTGGATTTAGGATATTTTGTTTTTCTTCCTTTTTTAGTCACATGTTCCTCACTACATAATATATATATATAAATCATCTTGGACCCCATGGAAGAACAGTCTTGTCGCTATGGCTTGACTGAACTGGGTGTCCTTCCCAGGCACGTAGCCACGGGGGGGGGGGGGGGAACAAAAAAAAAATCCAAGATCAGTTGAACTTTTTTAGACCCTTCCCCGGGGAGGTCGATCAATTACATGTATGTGCCCCCCCCCAACATTTGGCAACGGGCCTGGTCCTTCCGATTTCATTATTGCCTTCTTCTTTTCTTTTTTTACATTGTATATTATGTTTGGTTAAATGTTTATTTATATTACATTGTAAATTTTCTGTATATTATATATCATGTTTTTTATTGTGAATTCGGAGAATAAATAAATCAAATCAAACTTCGTTCGGCGTGAATTGTCCAAACTGGAGAGTAGTTTGTCCGCTGGAGCAGGGCCGTAGCCAGAGTTTGATGTTTTTTTTTTTTTTTTGGGGGGGGGGGGGGGCACATACATGCAATTGATCGACGTCCTGGGGAGGGTCTAAAAAAGTTCAACCGATCTTGGAAATTTTGCCCCCCCCCCCCCCCCCCCCCCCCTCTTGCCCCCCCCCCCCCCCCCCCGTGGCTACGTGCTTGCGCTGGAGTAGTTATCACTCCCCACCCCCCGTTCATGCCCATCTCTTCCCTTTTTTTCCTCTAGCTCTTACCATTTCCACTCTTTGACTCTTTCTAAAGCACAGTAAGTTCACGTCTCTAATTAGATATTTCTTTCTTATGAACGCAATCACCTCTCCCAATCCCTATTTTTTGGTAATTATAAATTGCATCTAAAATGTTTCATTGAGTTAATGTGAACACAGAGCAAATAATACAAAAGAAGGATAGAAGACTAGCCTTTGGTTCAACCTTGTCAACAGGAGTTTAGGGTTGATAATAACCTTTCAATTATGATACGTTGAAACAAATTCACTTCAGTTTTATTCAAAGTAACATTTAATTCACCTTACATTTTTATAAAAAATACTTATACACGATATAATTTACACAGTAAACATAACAAGGGTTGCTTCTTGTGTTTTTTGTTAAATAGAAAGTGTGTGGTTGAGATTTGTACAGACATATCCTTCTACAAGTTGATTAATTTAGATGTATTCATACCACACACAAAATGAATGTAATGACAAGTATCTTGCAGTATCATCATGTAAACTCGTGTCGACCACAATGGTCTCATTTTCACCCACTGATCCGTCAACTTGGTTTTGAAATCTGACAAATCACATTCGAAAGATACTCTTATCTGTCAACATGTCACGGGCATCGATACGAGACAATCTCTGTCCGACCTAAAAAAATATTTCATGTCATATATAATTAATTATATAGATGTAATGCATATTGGTGTGACTGTGAGTCGTGCAATACACATTGGAGGATCTGAGGCACGGGACACGGTCGCACGCACCCCCCCCCCCCCCCCCCCCCGCCGGGCAAAACCGAACTTGACATATGAAAACAATCAGAATAACAACTAAGTTGGAACGTCCTATAAAATTCAACCAAAAACGTGGTATTAATCTCTTAATAGGTTAGAGCTACACTTAGATATTATTTTGCTTGTCCTTTTTATGTATCAAGTTGGGAGGGGGCGTTGGCGGGGGTTGTTGAAAAACGAGCAATAGCGCCATCTCCATTGGTGGCCACAACTAATTCGCGTTTATTTTTTATCAGAATAAAAGATGCTTACTTTCAGAAATTTCTACATTTTTCTACGTGTAAGTCTATAATACTTTTCTCCACATATTTCTTGGTCAAATATTGAAGAAAAATGTATGAGAAGAAATGATACCTGCTTATCGAACTCCAGCATCATAACTCAACAACAAAAAAGCTAAACTTAGAGAATGCACTTGTAGGCCTACCATATCGATCTTGGCAGTCATATTTTGAATTTCAATTTAAACTGTATGTTTTCTCATCCATTTTAACGTTTATTTCATTCAATTTCATTTGTTTTCCTTTCAATTTATTCTCGAAACTTCCTAAACTTGCACATCTCATAATCAACGTTCACACCAGTGATAACAGTCTGCCCTGACGACCTATAGAATTCAGAGAGCATAACAGTGCCAAAGCAATGCCGTTATGTGCTGATGGTGATGTCTTTCATAAGCATGTTGAGACCTATACACTTTCGCCAATATTTTTTCTTTATAAAAAAAAGAAATTACAAATTCACCCGTGTCAATGACCCTCAAGGTTTGAGATTACCTCAGCATTGGATCCTATTAAAGTGGAAATTTACGTTACTTTTGTATCCGCTTTCTTCACCACTTGTTTATACTGTATATTACAATACTACAGTCACGAGATTTCACCTTTAGACATGTCACTTCCTCCACCGTGACGTCATAAACATGGCTTGGTCTAGTTCTAGATAAACCAAGAAGTTAGAATTCTACCTCTTTGGATAGCCAGTTAACACGCGTTGATTTGACAGCATATCTTTTGGATGTGAACAGCCCTTCGATCTCGACAGGCGCGGTTCTTGAAGATTGGGTTGGGTCCCCAAGGTACCCACTCCTCCAGAACCGCTAGTGTTATGGTATATTATAGCTATGTGATGTAAAAAAACACTTTTCATCATTGATTTTCAATCAGTTTTGGCTACTTCCACTCAATTCAACTTCCAATGAAGGGTCTATTCTCCTTTTGTAGTAATTAAAGGTATTACAAAGTTTTGGTATGGGGTCATGAATTTGGTTCAAATTAACATATTGGAAGCACATGCGTTCCTACAATATTCATTGATCGTTGTACCGGTTGAAATCGAGTCTAAAGTTATGAAATTATAAATAATAAACTCTTTAGGATGTATAGCTCCCTCTCAAGGTCAAAATATCACTTTAGCTATAAAACATGTTTCTTGACTAAAATCGCCCGATTAGCTATTCCCGTTTGGAAATTATATATCACAACGACATATTCTGAGATTTTCATGTTTGCAGCTACTATTTTACGGCCGTAGGCGCTATTTGAAATTTATCAAAATTTACCGGGAGCACCGGTAATTTGTATATTCAATTTTTCTCTAAAACAGAAGTGTTTTAGGGGTTAATTTTTTTAGTGCTTATAATACATCCACAGGGGCATCCAAATATATTAAAATTGTAAAGATTCAGTATCCACCCAATTTTCAAAATTTCCCAAAACTTTGTATTACCTTTAATATTGCTTCTTTAAAATAATAGGATCTGTTACACGTGCCAGTATAGTCAACATAATTATAGCTCATCTCCATTCCCAATTCTGAATTCTCGAATCATCCTCGCAAGATGCCAAAAACCCTCGGACAAACCCTCTCCGGTGGTAGCACATGTGCCTTGGATATGCCAAGGGTTCAGGATTAGACTTTCGAGTTGTAGCTTGTCGGTTAATTCAGAGACGCTGAGAGCACCTAATCATGAAAATAAGAATAATGAGAAGGAATATCGATGGTATGAATATAAAGCGTTAAAAAATTATAGTTCTCATGTGAATTGAAGTCACTGGATGAACTAGGAATATACAAAAGAGGGCACAACTCTGACAACATTCATGACAAGCAGAAAAGGGGGGAAACTTGAAAGAGAGAAAGAAAGAAAGAGAGAGAGAGAAAAGAAAGAAAGACAAAGAAAGAAGAGGAACAAGAGAGAAGGGGAAAGGCTATCACACTTCCGAGTTCCTTTGGTCTAAATTTGGAAAAGGTTAAAGGTACACTCTAAAAACTGAAATGTTAAATCACCTTTTAAAAGGGCCGAGGAGTGACCACTCTTTCAAAATGGTAGATTAACACTTCGAACATGCAGGATCCAACACTATAAAGGTTGAATCTAGCAGGTTAAAAGAAACAATCTGACATTTTAAAAGAGTGGTCTCTCCTCGGCCCTTTTAAAATTGACATTTAACATTTCAGTTTTTAGAGTGTAATACGAAGTTTTGGTATGGGGTCATACATTTGGTTCAAATGAACATATTGGAAGCAAATGCGATTTTTACAATATTCAATGATCGTTGTCGCGGTTGAAATCGAGTCTAAAGTGATGAATTTGTAAATAATAAAATCTTTGTGTTGTATAGCTCCCTCTCAAGACTGGTATTACTTTAGCTCTAAAACGATGTTTTGTCGA